ACCTGGGAGGCACCACAGCTCTGAACAACCTAGTGCACATTTAGTACATCGATTTTAAAAATCCAGTTAAAACCAAGCTCGGTTTAAGCTAGGGCTGAGTCCAGTGGAGTATATCTAATTAAATTTAACAGGGATTTTTGTTTGAATAAACAAGTATAGAAACGCACTGTTAAATATTTAATCCAACCAATTTCAAAAAAATGTAAACATTCCTAACATCCTGCAGGTGATACACTGAAGAATAAGAGAGCCAGCAGTGCTAACAAAAATGCTACTATTTATAAAGAATATTCCTTTCCGGTTTTAACTCAAATGATGCCCCAGCTTTTTAGTCCTTACCTTCTAAAATTTCAAGAAGCTTCTAGACAACCCATGTCTTGTTCAATCATTGTTTCAAAGATATTTCCTTACCATATTCCTCAGAGTCTTCAACAATGTCAGAATGTACTGCCTCCATTGGAAAAGTTTTTTAAAATTCAGCGAGATGGTACAGAGAGGCATCTACCTTGAAGGTAGTCCATGATGAACTGTTTATCACAGTGAAACATCAGGAGTTGATCATAATGTATTGTGGCATTTTTTATTGTAAAAAGTATTTTATAAAATTGGTTAAATTTCAGTTCCACCAGAGTCGTGGGTTCTAGATTTTAAACACATGCTGTAAGTTAATCTATTTGAGGAAATTTAATTCAAAATTTCACAGTGCATCCTTTCTCCCCATGCAGACAAACTGTAGAGTTTTAGTGGCATATTGGTTGAATGAAGCTCTCATGAATACACATGATTCATTTTTCTGATTTTTTTTTAAAGTACACATTTCAAGAATGTATATTAGTGGCCCAAGAAAGAATGCCTTTGTCAACTTATGAAACCTTTAAATTCCTTAGTTTTCTAAGAAACCCCATAATCCAAAGAAAAGATAGAGAGCTTCATTAGGAAGCTGATGGGCTCTGTCCTATAGTTAATGACTAAATCTTTTGCTAGAAAATTCTATTGTGAAAGCACAGATTAAGTACTTTTAATTTAGTGGAAATTACTAAACAGCATAGGAACTAATGAAAACTTTAAAAAATTATATTAATAAGATATATTATTAAAAATAAACAGCTTCAAAGGAATCTGGGGATTAAAATAAACTTCTCTCTCTGGCACCTATAGCCTATAATCTTGGAGATGATTGAGAGAAAAATCAAAGAGAGATATAAAACAATTTTATTTTATTCTCAAGTCAGAATATCTGGTCAAACAAGTGTTTGGGAATCTAGTGAACTCCAATCAAGTTAACATATACAATTAATTATTTCTCTAATCATAGCTCAATCAATGATGCCACAACACGAATCTCTCAAACAATTTACCTTTACCATTCTATTGGAACAATTTGTATATTTTTTCTTGGATAAGAAAATGGTTCAGAGAACTATAATTGGAGAAAACTACTTTGTTAAAAGTAAAATAATATATGATAATAAAAAGTTAAAATAATATATTCATTTAAAATATTTAAGTCCAACTATTTGCACACTGCAAATTAAAATACCCCAATTCATATCCTTTTCAAAGATACCCTTTCATATGTGGAAACAGTCTTTCTTTCTCTATTCCATGAATTAACCATTTTGTTCAAAATTCAAATTAATTTAGTCCTCTGATTATGGAAAGTGTCACCAAGAGGCATCAAAATTTGTTCTTTAGAGATTGAAAAAATATGATTACTGCATCATTTATCTGTTCAAATATAAACAAGATCAAAAATTCTTCTTGTAGCATTTATGAAATAGTTTTGATCAACTGATGTATGTATGTTGATAGCTCTCAAAATGACGCAAAGGTTTTGGGGCTGGGGATAGAGACTGAGGAAGAAGAGTTAGGAATTTTTTGAAAAAAATCTTAACTCAAGAGATGAAATGTAAGAGCACGTGTTATATTTTCATGAGGCATATAGCTTCATTTATTATGTATGATTTTGCTGAAGGATGAATGCACCAATACATTTTATTTCAAAACTATTGTAACTACCCAAAGTTTGAATCCATCTAGGTACTGTAAATTTTTGTATTCTATTCTGTAGTTCTGTCAGGAAAGCAAAAGAACTCACCTCACAGTACCTTTAATACATGCCTTAAATCTCAATTCTTTACCAATTACATTCGCAGAGCATATGCCTAGGAAAATGGTAACTATTGTATGTGTTTGATTACTTATCAACATTTGCAGCAGACAAACAAAGGATTTGAAATATAGTGGGTGGTTATGGTTCTTTGTGTTCAGAAGTTAATTTGGGTGATATCAATCACTGATTCATGGGGTAAGAAATACTTGAAAGTGAGCTGTTTTAATACAGAAAAGGACTTGGGGGGGTAAATACTGGCAAGCAGAGAAAACACTACTTAAGACATAAGTGCTGTCAGCAAGAACAAGTGGGGACACTGACAGACTAGAAAGATGTGAAAACCTGAAGCACTGAGATTTAATGTCAAGGGGCAAAATGAATAAGTTGCTTTTCTACAGGTATTTTTTCCATTTGCTCCCATGAACATTACTAATTTTCTTGGAGAGAGGATTCATTTCTACCAACAACTTCTTTTATGTTGCAGACTTGAGAATTAGGTTTGACCTATTTTAATTCCATTTTCCCACATTAACTTTTCATTGTGGTTCATTAGCTTTTAAATATTACGCATTCTGTGCCAAGACTGATAAAAATGTACTCTCCTTGCTACCCTATACAAATTGTAAAGACAGACAAATTATACTCCAGCCATTGGGGAAACTGGAAAGTGTAATCTAATAATCACCAGCTGGAATTCTCTAAACAAGTGAGATGTCAGAAAACTGGAGAACAAACATAATCCTAAAATTCAAAAAAGGGGAAGACCTGAAAACTACAAATCAATTATTATAAACCTCTGTACAGGCTAATTTACTAGGATAGATTGTTAAGCACCACATCCATGAACATTTAGAAAAGGATCTAATTATTACTATCAGAAATTAGCTTGAGTTTATCAATAATAGGTTATGTCAGATTGCCTTCTCTTTTTACAAGAGACTGATTAATTATAGTTATGTCAGATTGCCTTCTCTTTTTACAAGAGACTGATTAGACCAAGATAATGATATGGATATAATGTTCCTTGATATAAATAACACATATGAAAAGATTCTGATGATATCCTAATGGGCAAGATACATAAAGTAGTTATTACAGACCAGCATATGGTACTGCAGGTTAGTAGATTTACAATTGGTGAAAAAACATACCCTGAAGGAGCTCATTAACCTGCATTCTGGATCATGGTTCTCTATTAGGTTTTTTTTTTTTAGTATTTATTTGATTTGTCAATCTCTTACAACCTGTTTGAGCAAATAAAACCAACTTATTTTGGGATTCCAAGGTCTGAGTCTCGTAATTTCCTGCAACACTATGGTGCCTTTCTCACTGACTGAGAATTCTGGGAATTGTAGTTCCAGCACATCTGGAAAGTATTAAATTGGAGAAAGCTGCTTTAACTAGTAAAAATACTGTGGAAGTTCACAGAAAGGACAGAAATAAGTACCAATGTTGCCTTTTTCTTAAACCTCATTATTTTAGTTGGCTTCTGAAATGTCATTACTAGCACCATTTAATGTGCTATTCTTTGTATCAATATATCAGGGAACAAGATTCTTTATAGTACTATAATATTAAGGCCTTCAACTTAAATCATGCCAATGCAGATGTTACTAATTATTCCAAAAGCACAAGTACGTACCCAAACTGGATGATTCCAGCTGCAGAATAATTCAATTAAAGGAGTGCTTATAATTTTCAAAGCATGAATGAAAACTAAAGCAAGCTGTTAGGGAATCTGAAAAAAGCAGCCATCAGATAGCTTTTTTTCTGAATGATTTATATTCCATTTTAATATGTGATCCTATGCAGAATTTCCCCAAAATGTCGTAATGTAAGAAAGCTTCACCTACTATAGCATTTTTTACCTATCACCTGCAAAAAAAGGTGTGTGTGTGTATGTGTGCATGTGCATGCACACACATGTACATACACTCAAGGATTATTCTTATCAATGGTGATTAACCGAATTGGAGTCCTATCTTTGTTTAGTTCTCCAAGAAAAGATGTTATGGAGAAGATGATACAGGGTAATTTAGGATATTAAAAATAAGGCATCACAGCCTTGGCCTTTTATACCCAGAAAGTTTATGTCTTGCAGGTTACCATTTTCAAAGGAATATCATAACACTCAAAATAATGCTTTATTTTATTGTTTTCATACTTTGAGGAAGAGAAGGAAAATTACTACATTAAGAATGAAATACTGAATATTTATAAAACAGTGTGTTACAACATTCACCCACACATACAGACTATTTCTGCATAATTTCAACATAAAGTATGTCTTTTCGCTAAAGTTTATATCAAAGGACATAATGCTAGATATCTATAATCCTCTTTTTGATGTTGCACAATGCAGCTTTTTAACCACAGTCAAATAAAATAAAACTAACAAGATTAAGTAACTGGTTGCCTAATATACGATTATTGAAGTGAGCCTTCCTTTTATAAAAACAAAGATAAACTTCTTTGCACAGATATGAAGAGAAGAAATGGAAAGATAAGCTCCATCTATTATATAAACCATGACAACGAGCATATGTGTATATATGTGTATACATAAATGTATGATCAACATTGTTTGCAAGTTATAGAGGTAAACTCTTGTTCACTAGCCAGTCCATAAAACTGTTTTAATTTTTTTTTTGATTTTTAACACAATCAAAAGAGATTATTCCCATTTAAAATTACAATTTTCTAAAATAAGCCCCATTAAATATAATGGGAGATGCTTCAAGGCAAACAGAGATTTGCAAAAGGAAAGGTGCCCAGCTCCTTCATTCAAAATAATAATAATAAGTAGGCAAACAGAACTTCTACTTTCAAGGCTAGAGCAGTTCAATTTAAATAATACAAGTCACTGACAGAGTTTTTAACACAGTACCTTGCGTCACTTGTTGAACTGCCAACATCATCCCAGAAACTATATCAGGGAGCAGGTCCATTTTCCAACAATAGTGTGGTGCCCACTCCAAAAGAGGCAGCCTGCTTACACACCAGAGTTTAAAGTTCTCGTAGCGAAAGGCATGGATCTTCCTCCATAGGGCATTTTCCTGTTTCCTCTTTGCTCCTGTCATGCTCTATTTCTACTTTCTTCCTTCCCTTTGTATAATCCTTTTTTCTGTGAAGAAGAAAAAAAACACCTCTATGGAATGGCACCAGATTTGTGTGAAGCTTCTATCAGACTATAGTTTCAGACCAAAAGATAAACTCAGCCCATTTGCTAAGTATATTTTCAACTTTGTAAGTATCTAAAGTTTTATAGACAGCCTAGTAGAGAAGTATATCCTGGTCCTATTACAGCTTATGGCTCTCTTTGCAATCATTCTCCTCTTTATATTCACTGTAGTGCTTATGCTTTTGGCCTGGATCCAGAATTAAAATGAGGTTTTGCTGGGCGTTTCTTCGATGTGGGATGGGCTATGCTAATGTAATCAGGAAGTTCCCAGCTAGACATGAGTTTCCTTGCCAACCATTATTTTTTTAAAAAAAAACATTACTGTGAGAAAAAACAAAACTGCCTGTTTCTGCCCATAGCAAAGATTCATCAGTGCATTAAATTCCAATGCTACTAAACATATTCTGCAACTTTAGCTGGATCCAGTTTTCTTGGATTTTTTTTTCTTTCCTGAAACATGGTAGGTTACTTAACACATTCTCTTCTGGGGGAAAAAAGAGTTGAGATTACTTTGTTCTTGGCACATTTGATACCTGCTGAAAAGGCACAACAGTTTCTCTGGTAAATTGGCAGAGAAAGCCAAATGAAAACAAGGTGATTTCAGTCATGTTGTCATAAAAGATGAACCTGGCCCTTCCTGCTGCTTTAAAAAGGGCTTGTTATGAAGAAACTGACCTTGAACTGATCTTGACCAGTTCAATATTAATATGGTCATGCATATACTTGCCACTGATTAAAGTATCAATAAGGGAACAGCTTGAAAAGATGCCAGGACAAGAAATCACCTTAGGCCAGAATCGGACTCCTAGTCCATATTGGCTGCTGTGATGACCCAGGCTCTCTGCTCTGAGGATGAACAACTGATAGGCCTCAGTAAATTTCAAAGCTGGTGTACAAAACCAATCAGTCAAGCTGAGCTCTGACTCAGAACAAAAACAACCTTAAGAACAACCTGGAATTTTCTTGTGACTTGGGAGAGAAAAATCAGAAAAAAAAAAAGATTGAGTATGGAAGACAACAGGCATCTCTACTTATTTTGGCTTCAAGCAGTAAAGCAACTTCAGTAAAAAAAAATGGGGGGAGGGAGATTAAAGAAATGCTCAAGGAACTGTTTTGCATAAGAGGGTAAATTTTGTAGTGTTTTAGTCCACACTCTTGTTTCTTGCCAATTCTAGAGGTATTTCTAACCCAAAGCTGTCTGCCATAGGATATACCTGTTCTGTTTTAAATCAGGAGAAATAAATCATCGCAAGGTGTAAATGTCTGTTGTCATCTTAACCTGATACCTGCATCATATACTTTCAGTGGTGAATTGTGCATTATCACCATCATTTTTACTATGTTCCATTTATGGTATTTCCAACACTGCAACTCTTCTTATCCAGCAGTGATATAGCCTGACAAAATTCTATACCAGGGGCATCAAACTCACGTCGTCGTGGCGGCATCATGTGATGTATCGGGACTTCTTTTCCCTTTGCTAAACTGGGCAGGGGCATGGGCAGCGTATGATGCATCGAGCCCGCAAGCCAGAAGTTTGACAGCCCTTTTCTATACTGCTCCTCTGCCAATCGCATCCAGGCAGATCCAGCATTATTTTCAGTTCATGCAGAAAGCAGCCAGCAGTTTCCCACCAACAAAATGATGGTACCTATCTATCTACTCCCAAGCAATGCTTTCAAACTGGTAGGTGGGCAGAGCTAGGAACAAGAGATGGGAAGTCACCCTGTCCTGCAGAGCTGGACTCGAACCCCTGGAGTGTTGGCAATTGTTCAGCACATCCAGCGTCTGCATTTTCTGTGTCAGATAAGGAAAACACATCTTTCTCCCTCTGTCCTGGCCACTTTTTACAGAAGCACAATTCAGAGTGTTTTAACAAACTGCATCACTGTTTGGTTTGGTGTCAGCAGTGCCTCAGATAGAAAGTCCATACAGAGAGTGCTAAGGACAACCAAGAAGATTATAGGAAGCTCACTTCCTGTTATTCAGGATACTGCTTATAAGCACTATGTGCTTAGAGATCAAAGCATTGTTAGAGACCCCACACACCCATCTGTTTCTGTTGCTTCCCTCTGAGAGTAGGTTTCGAAGAATTTCTAGCAGAACTACCAGATTCTGTAATAACTTTGTTTCCTATGGCATCCATCTTGTAGACTCACAAGATTCATTTTTCTTACCTTGTACACATATGCATCCAGACTAGACTGTGTTGTTTCTCTGTGTCATATAATATATGCGGATATATGCATAACTGTGTGTTTATTTTGTCATGTTTATGTAGTGCATGTTGGAGGTGGTGACCCTTTGTGAACTGTATGCAACAAAATTTCATTTTAATGTATGCCAATTAGTTATCATTCAAAGTGATAATAAAGTTATTCTAAGTCATTCAGTCTCTATGCCACTACGTCCCCCAAAACTTGACAAGTAGGTGTACAATGCCAATTTCTATGTCAGCAGCCATAAGCCAATGTATATTGAAAACCCACTGGTTTTCACGGATTTGAAATTTGCATAAAATAAGAATGCTAGCATGTGATAAATTATAAAGTATCTCTTAAAGCAATTACAACACATTTAAAACTTTTCTTCATTACCACATATTTAAAGCATTATGGGGAGGTTTTTTCTACTCTTATTTATTTTATTCATTTACAGTATTTACTGAAGATTTATGGTGCTTCAATCAAACTGACTATAAGCAGCTTACAAGTTGTTGACAACACAAATTAAATGTCAGCTAAATATGGGAAAGTTACAATCTGAGGACAAAGAATACAGCAACATTGTAAGCGTCCCAGAGACTTTGTGGAATCTGGCCATCTTAACAAATCTAACAAATAAATACATTTTTTCTAAAGTAAAGCAAGATAAAGTTAGATGGATACCTGGATGAAGTGCCTATGAGTTACATGCATAAGAAGGCACACAGAATGTAAGCAATGTGTAAATGATACCAATCACCTTCACCTTGTATACCTATTTAACTAGAGTTTGTTAGGATTTGGAATTTTGGGGAATAACTGTAGCCTAGAACCGAATGTGTTTAAAGTGATAAGCTTGTAAAAGTAAATATCAGGAAATGCTGACATATTTGTTCATCTAATTGAAGAGATGGATATTGTATCCGTACCTGAAAATAAATTTATAACTGTTAAGAATTACCAGGAGTTTAAAAGACATCCAGTGGAGAATGCAATAGATTGCATTTGTTATGATGGAAAAATTGGGATTTACATAGTATAATAATGTAAATAACTGAAGATACAGTGTGCCTTGCAGAATAACTAATCTAGCCTTGATAAGTACAGCTACCTAGCTACACAATTTCTAATATGCAATTTGCACCCAGCATGTCTTATTTTATAGCTATTTAATCTTCTCTCCCCTACTGGAAGTTTATACAGCTAATATGCTTTCCATGGAGACCATTCTCTAAATATCTTTGATGCCTAGTGATTTCTTATTGTCCCCAACTTAAATACTTTCTTCCAGATGTTATTCTATTGAATATATGTGTTCAATATGACAATATGATTTTACTATAAAAGCCTAGACATTTAAGCATTGTGCATTGTATACTAGCCTCAAAGAAAGAAAGGCATTCTGTTAAAAGTATATACTATCCTTTTGTATTTATGTGCAATGGAAACGATTAATGTAACTTCATGAATGTCAAATAATCCAGGATATAAAACTCATTAAGGGTTTTCTCCACCATCCCAATGTGTAATGAACAGCATTCAAACTAATCTGCTTTGCATAAAAGTAATTCATCTTTTTCTGAACTGCAGTTTTTAATTTTGACAAACTTCTAATCTTAGGTTATAGGAAATACAAGGCATCACTGATGAATGCACAAAAGTAACATTGCAAAAGACAACAAGAGACAAATTATGGAATATAAATGCAAAAAGAATCTGAGGTTTCTTCAGTCCAGGGATGTCATAAATATTTATTTTACCATTTCTTATGCTAAATGCAATTTTACATGTGGAGAAAGCTAAAGATGGACATCCCAGATTCCTTTCAATCAAAGTTCAGACCTGGATACTGGGTAGAAATAACACTAATTATGCTTAAGTGATTTTCAAAGGAACCAGGCTCAGGAGCGAGTTGAGCCTCCGAGTTCTTTTAAATTTCTTAGCATCATATAGTATAATTGACTGTAGCACTGTTTCTCAACCTTGGGAACTTTAAAATGTGTGGACTTCAACTCCTGGAAGCTGGCAGTGGAATTCTGGCAGCTGAAGTCTACACATCTTAAAGTTCCCATGGTTGAGAAACACTGGGTTGGAAGTATTATTCTGAATTGCCTAAGGATTATGAATTTATTTTACTGCTTCCTAAATTTATGTAGTTCTACTGATATTAATGGAAAAAGAAAGCTCAAAGCTATGATCTAGTAAGAATCTTAGGCATTCTAGATTAAGGCAAAAATTTACTTAGTTAAAAGAGCAGTTTTCTTATTGAAGACAAAAAATTTCCTTTTAAAAATGAAGTGCTACAAAAATTTTATTACACAATAAATAGATAGATAGAAGTTAGATAAACGATGTTAGATAAGGATTTCTTAATATGACTTGTATGTGCAATATGTTCTGTTGTTGTATTATAATCATTGATTCCTGAAAGGCTCCACAATCATTTTAAGATTTCATTTCTTCTGCGCAGTGATGTGATTGCATAAGGACACATAGTTCATTTAACCAGAAATTATATGCTATGTGTTAGTCTATTCACCCTTAATCAAATGCCACCAAAGCAGGCAAATATGTCCAAGTCTCTATCACAAATTATTCCTTAACATTTCCATTAAAGCACATTCACATAGTGCTGTCATGTGGTTTTTTTCATAGGTGATACCTAAGGACTAATTATTTACACATGTTATCAAAATGTAAATAGCTCAGCAGCTTGTTCCATTAATAGCTTAAATTATATCACAAGGGAACATAATCTATGCAAATGCATCTCCCAAAATTATTTGTTCATTGTACCATTAAGGAAGTCCTTTTCTGATAATGAAAGCATTTTTACATACAATTACACAAATACTTGATAACTACATTTGTTCAGAATGTTGAATCTCATGCAAGACTACATGACTTCTAGTTTTGATTATAAAAGTGGAACCAAATTAGACATTTTCCTGTCAATTTAAGGCAAATATATGAAAAT